CCTGCCGCGGCTCCCTCGCGCTCCGGGCGGAGAATCCCGCTTCGGCACCGCACAAGATCGGCCACCTTTCTGGAAACCGCGCACGCATGGCAAGATCTTGGCGCACCCGGCCGGCCACACGCAAAATGAAGAGTCCCGTCCGCGCTCGGGGACCACGGGTTCCGCGTCCAACACCCGCTCGGACTCCGTTCCGAGACTGGGGCGCGAGCGGCCGAGAGCGGGAGCACGGGCCGGGATCGCGCTGCGGGCTCCCCTCGGACCCTTCGGGCCGGGACCCCGCGCCGCTGTCGCAAACCGACTCGGCCCGCCCAGGCCACGTCACGGCCGAGGCGGCCAATCGCGCGCGCCGAAGCGACGCGTGGGCTGCGGAGCGTTGGTGCTGGAGGTGCCGGTTGATTTCCGGCGGGACGGCGGCTCCCCGGCGGCACGTTTCTCAGCGTCTCTGTAATTCGCGTCTGCGCGAGCCACGGGAGCAAAGAACACTTCTGAAGATAGCTTTGCGTTTGGCTAAAAGCATCTTCAAAACATAACCACCCCAGTGTTTGCACAAGAGGACGGGATGGGGTCCTCGATAAATTTGGTTGAGGGTCTGGATGTCTTGTGTTGCCCGTGATAGGGATCCTGTGTGGTTTACAGAAACAGCCGGGGGGTAATGAGTGCGAGGTACCTCTTGGACTTGCCTGCTCATCCTGCCAGTGCAGGTGCTGACTAAGCATGTTTGCAGCCACCCAGAACGAGTGTCTGTCAACCTCTTCACTGCTTAGAGTGCAGAGAACTGCAGGTGGATACACTTCTAGGCAAGCAACACAGCATCACTCTGCATCTGGGGTCATTTTATAAGGATACGACACAAACACAGGCAGGCTAGTGTCCCTGGACACGACAATTCCTAGACTGAAGGGAGCTCTAACAACATTTGTGTGCACGGAGGGCCCATGTTGGCAACAAGAGTCCAAGCCAAGATTCCAGGTGGTCCCTTAACCGTTCAGGACAAGGGATGAGGACAAGATGGACACCTGGCTGTGGCTTTGGAATTTGCAACACTGAATAGAATCAGGTATTGTCACTGATCTGCCAGTTATGTATTTTATAAATGATCTCTTTGTTCAGGACTTTTTGTTATCACAGGAGTTTTTACCCACAATTGTTTACCCAGTTCTGTTAGAAAGTTGATTGGCCCAACAAATAACTTTCTTTTACTCATATTCAGCAACATTCATTCACAAATACTTTAGAGGACAAACACTTTTAAGGCAGGCAACCATCAAACTTCAATTCCACAAGCTATGTGATCTTGGGCAAGTTATCTAACTTCTTTTGAGCTCCTTTTTATGTAAAAAGGGAAGATTGATAACAATAAATGAAACCAGAATATATATATAATCTCACATACGTATCCAAATGGTTGTCATAAATAGTGATGGATGCTATGATCTGGACACTATGGGATGCTATAAGTGTATGTAGGGCACCCACAGCCTCAGGTGGCACGGGAAGCTTCCTGGAGGAGCCTTCTAAATCAAGACACCCCCCAAGAAAAGAGTGTGATTTAGCCAAGGTAAAGAAGAGACTCCAGAAGGCTGGCCAGAGAGACCAGATGCTGTGTAGGGTATATTTGAGGAGAGGCTGTGTCAGGGATAACCACCCTCTCCTTCTAGAGCTGCTTAGTCTCTTGTCTCATATCAATGTTGTGCCTTTGCTCCATTTCCGCCCCCCGCCCGCCCCTAAGAACCAATTTCATCATGATTACTACTCCCCAAAACTTCAACTTAAATAAGGCTTTAGCTTGATTTGGGGTACTAAATGGGGAAAATGGATCTTGAAATTCCACTTCCCACCACTGCTTTAGAGTTTCCATCTCCATTTTTTAATTCAGATTCACATGAGAAACTTTGGTCCGATGAGTCCAGATTATGGATTGGTTTCTACTTGTATCAGGTTCTCCACACCCAACCAGCTAAAGCTGGGACCAGATAGAACATATCTCTTCTAAGGTCCAGCCGTTTGAGCAGAGCGGGATAGAGGGCATTTAAATAAAACACAGAGTATGTGTGATAGTCAATGACAGGTTATCCAGTGTCTTGCCACTAGAAGTGTGGTTCCCAGATGACCAAATCGAATTGCCTGGTAACTTGTTAGAAATGCAGAGCTTCAGTACTACCCCAGTTCTACTGAATCATGATCTGTATTTTAATAAGGCTCCCAGGGGATTTGTATGCACTTTGAAGTTTGACAAGCACTTCTTTCATATATCTCTAGTTTTATATATTGGGCCACAGGCCATATAGATGACCCTCCCCAATACCATAGCTCCTGGTATTATTTTTTTAATTGTGCTTTCGCCATTCATTTCAATGCAACGTTCTGAACTTGGTCATCATTCAGAACTGCACCATGTTGGAAATATGTCCAGAGAGACCATTTGGTGTGCCTTGTCCCCCAATCCTTCCTCTCACTCTTATCGATCCTTCAGCAACTTCATTGTCTCTGACCCTTTGTTGTCTTAACTTTCTCCCTGTGGATCTACTCCCTTGTTTTCACTTTCTCCCAACTTAGATCCTGTGTTCTAGCACTGCAAGTGCTTTTTTGATAATATCCTCTTCCCTTGTTTCATTTATTTTATCACACTTGTGCAGAAAGTCCCCTGAGATATTAATCTGTCTGCCTTCTCAACACTTGTGAACAGGTGTCTAGCGCAGCTGGAGCGGGAAAAATCATTCACACTCCTGAATAGAGTGATTTTAAATTCAAGGCAGCCAACCTCAGCTGTGCCTTAAAACCAGCTGGAAATCCTGTGTTGCCTGGGCAATACTCCCTTGCCCTCACCAGGTGATTCAGTTACCAACTTCACGGGGAAGAAATGGAAGCCATCAAATGGGAATTCCCTCACCTCCCAACAAACCTATACATTCACCTCCATCCACCCTCATTCATTTCTCCTTCCCTCCAATTAGAATGGGAGCGATGCCTGTCCATCTCTCATGCTTTACATCCCATTGCATCTCACAATTACAGGGGTCACACTATTATGATTATATTTTTCCTATAAAAAGCATTTAAGCATGCTCAGTTTCAACTGTGTGTTGCTTTTTTTTTAAAGTTAAAAACTTGCAGTAAGCTCATGTCTCCCTCTTGCTACCACATTCTCTTTCTCCATACCCTCTGTGGAACTCTTGGTTGTCTATATAGCCATCTTTCTCTTCCCCTGCTTCCTTGAAAGCAGAATCTACCTCCCAATATAAAGGAGAGAGAATTCCAGATGTTCACTTGCTGAAACGTCCTTGTAGCTGAGGGTGGGGGTGTGAGTTTTAAAGCCAGGGAGTCATTAGGGCATGTGTCTGTTGGAGCTTTCAGGGAGGTTTGCTTCCTGATGACAAGAAGAGAGGCACATGAGGAGAGCTATCCCTCTGGAGGCTGTCCATATGAGGACAGGATATTTGGAGATGCTTTTATCATCTTAGGACCATGAAGAGCAGCCAAAAGTATCCCCAGAGCGCTCACACTTTGAATGGGAGGGTCTCTATTGTGTCAGTCACTGTTATTTGGGTATTCCTATGCTTACAGCTGAAAAGACATGAATACGTTTTTAAAGCCAAAATGTATATAACAAGAGAGGGTATACATAGGTTATATGCAGATACTGTGCCATTTTATATAAGGGACTTGAACATCCTCAGATTTGGGTGTCCACAGAGGTCCTGGAACTGATACCCTGCAGATACCGAGGGAGACTTACTATATATCTAACTGCAAACCAAAATGTATATAAAAAGGTCCATATAGATTGTATCTTACCTCCCATACCCACTTCAGTCACTGAAATCTGGATTACCCACACTGCACTGCTCCACCATGTTCTCCCGTGAGGGTCCCAGTGAAGGACTGACTGCTGAATCCACTGGACACTTTTTCAAACTTTCTCCTACTGGCCTCTCAGCAGCACTTAGTATTTTAAGATCCTGGGGAAAGCCATCGCTATAGCTTTGCTGCTCTCCCTCCTGCCCAACTCTTCAACATTCTCTCCCATGCCTCTGTTCTCAGCCCTTTTTCCTTCTCACTACAGGCTTTGCTAGGGCCAGCTCGCCTACCTCCATGGTTTCCACTTATACCTCTATGCCAGCGATTTTCAACTTTTTTCATCTCACGGCACACATAAACTAATTACTAATATCCTGTGACACACCAAAAAATATGTTATTTCTTTTGCCAATCTGACCAAAAAAAAAAAAAGGTATAATTTTGATTCGTTCACACCAAATGGCTATTGTTGTGTTAGCTGTTGTCATTTTTTAATTTGACAGTCTAAGGAGGGAAAGGTCAGTGCTCCTAAGTAGTCAGGTATGGCGTGTTTTAAAAATCCTTGCGGTTAAATGGTTCTCGGTCATTTTGGGTAGGATTTAACTGTGTTGCTCCTCTTTAGTTGTCTCTATAGTAAAGCTGTCAGAGAGCAGTTCTCTCAACTCTCACTGGACATTAAAATACTTGGGGAGGTTTTTAAATACCATGATGCCTGGGGCCACACCCCAGACCAATAATATCAGATTCTCTGAGATGAGACTCAGGCAGCAATATTGTTTTATAAATGTTTTTATTTTGTTTGTTTGTTTTTTAAATATACTTTTATTGATTTTAGAGAGAAAGGGATAGGGAGAGAGAGAAACATCAATGATAAGAGAGAATCATTGATAGGCTGCTTCCTGCTCGCCCTCTACTAAGGATCGAGCTTGCAACCTGGACATGTGCCCTGACCCGAAATCAAACTATGACCTCCTGATTCTTAGGTCGACACTCAACCACTGAGCCACACTGGCCAGGAGGTAGCAATATTTTTTTAAAGCTCCTCAGATGATCCTGGTATGCAGCCACGCAGAGAGCCACTGGTTCCCGGGAGAGTACTGAGATACACATCTAGGCCTGGGGTTTGTGGGTCCTCAGCCCATTCTCTGACAAGTCAATAGCACAGACTTTGGAATTGACAGAACTTGATTTGAATCCTGGCTTACCCCTTCACTGGGATGCATGATTTTGAGCAAATTACTTCACCTCCCTTGAACCCCTCTTTTGACTTGTGAAATGAGCAGAATAATA